AAAAAAGAAACTTCTCAGAACTTTTTTTAAAAAATTGCTGATTAAAAGTTCATTCCCAATATAAATATAAGTATATTATAATATAATACTATTATATATTTATTTATTTAATATAAATTCGGAGCTCTGTAACAAGATATTAAATGATTTTAAATTTCTTTCAATATTTATATAACTATTGAAAAATTATAAATCTTAATTTGGTCAACTTTTATTAATTAAATGCTTTTTTATATTATTATATATATAAAAATAAAATAAAAAATTTTTTTCATAAATAAAAATTTTAAATATTTTAACGAATTTTGATCGTCTACCCACACATATTTAAAAGGTTTACATTCCAAGTTTAGAATTTCCAACTGGAAAAAAAAAAAAAAAAAAAAATGGTATAATTCAATTTTTCAATTATAATATTCAAAATTGAATGTTGTAAAAGGTACCGAAAAGTGTCGATTTTCCAGTCTACCAAAAAAATCCATTGAATATTGAAATTTGAATTTTACATTCAATTATTATTTTATTATTTGATGAGCAATTTCAACACACAAAATTGTGATCAAGATCAGAATTCTGATATTGTTGGTGATGAAAACTTCGAAAGTGATGATTTAATTACATTTCAACATGATTCTGCAACAATAAATTTTATTCACAATTAACAAAATATTCCAAGAATATCAGAGAATCGTATCTATTTTCAGATGTTAGCAATCGTATGCCTCAAGAAATTCTTAAATTTCAAGAAGAATCACAACTTTTACCAGAGAATATCGATTTATTTTTCCAATTATTACAACAAAATTACAACATTAATGAAGATTCGATCTTTACATATATTCAATGCATAGATCTTCTTAAAATTTCCGATTTTTTAGAAGTTCGAAAACTTACATCCAAAATCAAGCAATATATTAAATCACACAAAGTCGATGTTGATTTTATTATCCAAATGATCCAATATAATGTTAAAACACAAACAAAAACATCAAATCAACAAATGAAAATCAGTAGTGAAATCGAACAAATGTTAACAAGCAAAATCAACGAATGTTTTTCAAATGAGAAATTCGGCCAATTACCAATTGAAATTATTCATCGAGTTGTTTCAAAAAGTTCACCGGATTTAATCAATACTAACAAACTTTTCGATATTATAATAAAATCACTGAGTAAATATTTTGTTTTATTTCCATTTCTTGATCTTCAAAAACTATCAAATGATCGACTTGAAGAATTGTGTGAAATGTATTCAAAATCGAATGAAAACACACGACATTATTTTGATTATCTGAAGTGTAATTTAAACCTAATAAATGAAATAAACAATCGTAAAAAAAATCTTCAAGAAATGAATGATCAACAGCTCAATAAAATGAAAGATTTAGAAACGTTACTTCAAAAACAATTGAATGAATCTGAGTCAAAAAATGCTCAACTACAAAATCAATTAAATGAACAACAAATTCAATTAAATGAACAGCTAAATAAAATTAAAGATTTAGAAACATCATTTCAAAAACAATTGAATGAATTAGAGTTAAAAAATGCTCAACTACAAAACTATCCTAAAGATATCTTAATTAAAGGACAAATCGTTGCCAGTGTTGAAAAAGGACTTTTTATCAATGCAGAAATAAATTTGGAAGATAACGGTTCAACACTTGACACAACAAAAAGTAAAGTGATCGTTAGCACAAGTAATGCAAAAACTATTGGAAGTGAAGCGTATGAAGATGGTGAACGAATCACATCGCATCACATGAACACATCATTTGCTTGCAAGCCAGGCAAGTACTACGTGAGATGCATTGTTTTTAACAGTGACGATGAATCAAACGAAATTGTGAGTAACTCAGTGACAACAAATTCAAGTTGTCTTACATTCGGCTATTTAAAAAGAGAACCAGTCAAAATTTCACTTCCTCAAGGTCAATACAAACTTGAAGTATGGGGTGCAAAAGGTGGTGATAGTACTGGAAATGGTCATCCTAATTGTAGTCGAGGTAATTCAACAGTTCCAGGAGGTTTAGGCGGTTATTCACGTGGTATTCTAAGTTTGAATAAAAAAGAGACTGTTTTTGTTTTTGTTGGTGAAGAAGGTCGTGCATCTGATTCATCTGATGGATCAACTACAGAAGGAGGCTTCCCAGATGGTGGAGGAACAAAAACTAGTTACTGTTCTAATTATCATACAGTTCCAGGAACAGGGGGAGGCTCAACGTCAATTCGAATCGGAAGTGACTCAAACTACACACGAGTGATTGTCGCTGGTGGAGGAGGTGGAGCTAGTGGTGACTGTCAAAATGCTAGTCCAGGTGGATTTGGAGGAGGTCTAAATGGAGGCAACTGCTACTATAATGGATCACTTCGGAACCTAGGCGCAGGCACTCAGACAGGCAGCACGAAAGGCGTTAGTTATAAAGATAACGGAGATCCAGGATCATTTGGTTTAGGTGCCCCGAGCAAGTACAACTCAGGATGTCATTCCGGTGGAGGAGGCGGAGGCGGTTGGTATGGAGGCGGCGGTGGAGGATATGGAAGTCACTTCGATTGTTCAGGTGGTGGCGGCGGATCAGGCTGGACATTTACAGAGTCGAACTTTTTAGCATTTCAGTTAGGAGACTCTATAAATGCATCTAAGTTTACTCTAACCGGTGCGTACTACTTATCAGATGTGATGTGCGTTGGAGGTAACGAAGAATTCCCTCGTCCAGATGGAAAAGGAAATGAACGAGGTCATATTGGACATGGTTTTGCGAAAATCACACCATTATAAAGTTAAGCAAAAATATTGAGTGAATTTATAATTTAAGGAAATTATTGAAAAATAATAATAAATATATATTAAATAATTCAAATATTATATATAGTTATGTTTGTTTTGAGGAAAATGTTAGTTTTGAAGGAAAATCTGACAAAAAGACGTTAAGGAAAAAATCTATTTTATTTGCTTTTTTTCCAGCAACAAATGAATAATTTGATTTTTTAAGTAATAGCAAATTATCAACAAACTAACATGAATTAAAATAACCGATGAAATGAACGTTTATAAATTCATACAAAAAGATATCAGATTTGATGATCAAAAATAAAAGTCAATTAAAACAATTAATTTTATGATTTGCGTGTTTAAAACAGATTAATTTAACAATATTCGGTATTTTTAGCCTATTCTAAATCGCTGGCGATGAGATAGTTTGAATAAATAGTTTTTTTTTATAATCATTTTTATTTTGATAATATTTACTTAAATATCGATTATTTTTTTAGAAAAAGCAATGTAAATATAAGATTATCATTCATTATATATATTTCTATTATAAGCATTTCATAATTCTCAATATATATGAAAATTGCTGGGGTTTTTAAAAAAGTCATCAAAAATGAATTGTTCAATTTTATAACAGAAAAAATAAAAACTGCATAGCAAAAAATATAATACGCATGGTTTTGAAATAAGATACTAGCATAATATCACTTTTTTAAATCCCTGTAATAATAAAAATGAAAAAACGTGTTTTTAATTGATTGCTTCTTGGAATCAAAAATTTCTGGAATATTGATATTTAAGGTGAAAATTATATGCTCAATAGTATAATATTATTAAATATAAAATTATATAGATGAAACTTACTTTGTCTTGAGAAAAATTCACTTTTTTCTAAAATTCAATAAACTTATATAAAAGATGCAAAAGTATAGGTTTTCAATGCGTTTTGGCATTTATTTTCTTTCTCATATTTATTTAAAAGATTATTAATCTATTTTAATACTTATTTTAAAAAATCAATTAATCATTTAAGAATTTTTCTTTTAAATCAATTTTATTTCGACATTTTCAAGAAATGAGCTGTTAAAACACATCACTTCTTTCATAATCAAAATTTTCTTCATAACACAAAAAAATACCTCATATTCATTATAAATCTTATTTTTTTTATCTTGTTATTGATAGCAGGATAGACGAAACATACGAATTAAAACAATTTCCAAATTTAAGTTTTCTGGAAGCAAAATATTGTCAATTGGAAAGTGGTGGTATGTTTAAATATGTAATTACTATATGATTAAATTTTAGTTAATTGGATAAAGAAACAATTGATATTTAAGTAAATATTATCAAAATAAAAATGATAATAAAAAAAAAACTATTTATTCAAACTATCTCATCGCCAGCGATTTAGAATAGGCTAAAAATACCGAATATTGTTAAATTAATCTGTTTTAAACACGCAAATCATAAAATTAATTGTTTTAATTGACTTTTATTTTTGATCATCAAATCTGATATCTTTTTGTATGAATTTATAAACGTTCATTTCATCGGTTATTTTAATTCATGTTAGTTTGTTGATAATTTGCTATTACTTAAAAAATCAAATTATTCATTTGTTGCTGGAAAAAAAGCAAATAAAATAGATTTTTTCCTTAACGTCTTTTTGTCAGATTTTCCTTCAAAACTAACATTTTCCTCAAAACAAACATAACTATAATATGTGATATTTTATAATTAATAAAACCTTTTCATATTTCAAGATATGTAAATGGACAACTTCAAAATTTTATTAATCAATTTAAAAAAAATTGCATTACAATCTGAGAATAAAAACTTGAAATTACAAATAAGCCCAAAAAACTTTATCAAATGATAAGAATGAGAAAGCAACACCAAAAAGCATTAAAAATATAGTAAAAATCTCACCACTTGCAAATACAGCACTTCATTCGCTTGGTACTGCTCAAAAAAAGTAAAAATAAAATAGTAAATAAGCCAGCACTTGTAAATACACGACCTGTTTCACCCGATAATATTCGAAAAAATGTAGAAAGTCTTAACCAGAAAATGATAGAGGCTAAAAATAAATGGGAAAGTGAAAAGAGGAGGATTTTCGCTTTCGCTGCTGACGAGTTTAGGTCTTGTTATGACAATTCGGATACATTAGATGAAAGATCTTTCAAAAGCTTTTTAGGAAGAAAACTAGTTAAAAAAAAAAATGTGCGTTGCCCGGGAATCGAACCCGGATCTCAAGCTTGGAAGGCTCACATGATAACCACTACACTAGCAACGCCTGTGTTTTTCTTTTTAAATTCATATTAGTAATTTATATTGACATAAATTTATATTGACAGAAAATTTAATTCAAATTAATTCTTTATATATTAGTAATAAAATTATCATAATTAATATACATAAAATTAATCATAAATATTTGTATATTTATTTTCCAAAAATGTCTATCAGGAGTCGAGATTTCCCTTTTAAAATTCACAGACTCTGTTTAATCAAATTTTTCTCAATTTTTATCATAAAGTTGTTATTCGAGTACCAATTTATAATATTTTTTCAGATTTTTTGATTTTTATCATTAAATAATAGTTAAGAAGTATGCATAAAATATAATAGCTTACTCAATAGAAATATTTGTTTATCATATATCAACAATTTTAAAAATACATTCTTGGTATGTTAATATTCGTTAATTAGATTTTATTTCTATTTCTACAGCGAAGAATTCAAATTTAATTAAATAACATTTCAAATTATATAAAAATTTTAAATATATATGTATTTACATATATTAGATAGTTCTCTCATTGCTAATGGAATCATAATGATGACTTTTGGCCTGATAAATAAAAGCTCCTCTATAATTGGGCCTGATACTAAATATTTGTTATTGACAACTAAAAATGAGAATTATCTAAAATATAATCATTGAGGTTTTTTCATCATTGGAATCAGTGTCAATTAGATGAATAAACATTTGGGATTTAAACTTTAACAAATAAAAGAAGCTAATACAACAGTAATAACAAATGTCTTATTTACAATTCAGAATCGAATTTTCAGTTAGAATTTGGAATTATCAGACCAACTCACATTTAACTAAAGAGAACTATATTTTTTTATTTAATATGTAAATAATTGCAAATAATTTGTAATCAAAATATGAGCAGTTTCTTTAATTTTATAAAGTTTTATTTGCACAAAAAAAAATTATTTTAAAAAAGATATTTAAATTGCAAATACTTTTTGTAATCAATAAAAAAAATTATTTCAAAAAAATGGCAAATTGAAACAAAATAAATTTTTTTGTGAAAAAATTAATTTCTTTCAATGAAACCACTTTTTGAATAAAAATAACAAGCAAAAAAATGTAAAAAACTTTTTATGAGAAAAAAGTTATTCAAAAAGTGTTAATTGAAAGGAATTCGAGTTTATTCGGATCTACTTTTTGAGCGAAGCTCAAAAAGTAGATCCGAATAAACTCGTAAATTTTTCAAAAGATGACAACTTTTTTTCAAATGTAATTCTTTTTGGCCAAAAAGTTATTATCTGAAAAAACTCAATATAATTGAATTATTAGTATTATTTCTAATAAATACATTTAATGCAAAATATCGTTTGAATTTTAAAATTTAAAATAATTTTGATAAGTCTCTAATGTTGATTGAAATGAATTATTTCAATTTTTTGAGCATTTTTTATTTTTTCACAAAATGAAAGAATTATAAAATTTATCAGAAATATTTTGGTCCATATGCTCGGACTTCAAAGATTCTTTCAATTGCTTATGACTGTTTTTTTTTTTTTTTCATTATTAAAAACATTCAAATATAATTTACTCATATTGGTTACTATTTTTCTAATTAAGTAAACAAAAAAAAAAAAATAAAATAAAATAAAATAAACAAATAAACTATAAAATATATGTCTAAAATGAGTTCTTTTATGAGATATTAATATAAATAAATTGACTATGTTTGTTAGGTCCATGCCAAGTCCATGTCCACGAAAAGTCCATGAAAAGTGCATTTGTCCCGGACTTTTAACAAGTCTAATGTTTTCAGAAAATGCAAATATTCTATTTTGAAGATAAGAAATCAGAAATCAGCCAAATATCAATTATTTGATACTTAGATTATTCTCAATTGTCATTACAAATATTTTTAAAAAAAGTTTCCCACACATCGAATCAACAAGAAATAAAAAAAAAATATAATAAAAGTAATTACTGAATTTTTGTCAAATTTTATTTTGTAAAGCAAGTAACTCTATCAGTAAATGCGCCATATCCCATTCTTAAATCAGGTGGCACTATTGCATAGTATAAGTTATAGCATGATCCAAAACAATAGTCACCAATATAATCCACTGAAAAAGGAATTTCAACCGACGTTAATCTTATGCATCTACTGAAAGCATTATCACCGATATTTTTTACTTTTGATGTTTCTCTGAAATAAATCTGCTTTAAGTATTGGCAGTTAGTAAATGCTTCTGATTGAATATCAACGACACTGTATGGAATTTCGATGAAATCCAATGGACAATTTGCAAATGCTTTTTTTTGGATAGTTTCAATTGTGCTCGGAATTTCAATGCTTTCCAAACTGCAACAATCTTCAAAAAGACTGGAACTTATTGTCTTTAATGAAGCAGGCAATGAAACTACTTTAAGTTTTGAGCATTTTTGAAAGCATCTTTCTCCAAGTTCTTTTACAGGAAACGGGATTTTTATTTCGGTAAGTTCTGAGCAGGATTTAAATGCATCAGATTGAATTATGATCAATGATGATGGCAAATTAATACTTTTCAATGATGTGCAATCCTCAAATGCATTATATCCAATTATATTGATTGAGTCTGGAAGAGTCACTCTTTCTAATTTTGAGCATGAACAGAAGCAACAATTGCCTATTATATTTATCGGTGATTCAACGACAGCTTCGATAACGTTTTTGTTGCCTTGGAGAATATTATTCATTTCAGTTATACAAACAGAAATTGAAAAATTAATGTTGATGCAATCTTTCTTGCTCTTTTCATTTATGTTGTCGATAAATGCGTTGATTTTTTGAAATGTTTCTGATGGATACTGAATTTTGAATATGACACTTTTGATCTTTGTGATTATATTGATGAAATCATCTGAATCAAAAGAATTCTTAGTGATTAATAATGCAATTGCATCTAATGTTAGAATAAGATCAGTTTTGTCTTCTTCGATTTTTGTTAAGAGTTGTTGATTGTCATTTTCATTTGAAAATAATTTAATGAAACTTTGGTCATTTGGTTCTAAATTCAGCATATAAAGTAAAAGAGCATTTAAATTGGTTAGAAATTGACTTATTTTTTGGTCTTTTGAATTTGTGATATAATCATCTAAAATCATTTGCTGCATTTTCACAGGAAAACTATTAAAAGCTGCAATTGAAACTGTATCTTTCATTATTTTATTTTGATATTGAAGATTGTTCAAAAGTTCATTGTTGCCATTTTTCGAGATTTCAATTTGTTCATTTAATTGGTCAGTCAATTTTTGTTTTTCTTTTTGGAGATCAAAAACATGTCTTTCTAATGATTGATTTTTTTCTTCATAAATTTCATTCTTTTTGATAAGTATTTCTTCAAAAGGACTTGATTCTTTAGCTATTTCGTCAATATAGTCATTAAATTGATCAATATCAATATCATCAAGGAGATAATTATCTTCAGAAACTTTTTCATCATTTGAGTTTTGGTTGTTATTTGATAATTTTTTGTAAATTTCATTGAATGTTGGCCTTTCATCTGGATTATTCGACCAACATTGTTCAATTAAATTCTGAATTGATCTTTTAATTGGAGATTTAAATTTTGGACGTAAATTTTCATTGGCAACTTTATTTTTGAATTCATATTCTTTGATTGTGCCATTTTCTAAGTCAGGATAAGCAACTGAATCTGTAACAATTTCGTACATTAAAATTCCAAATGAATAAACGTCTGCTTTTCTATCGTAGAGGCAATCTTTTATGACTTCTGGTGCCATGTAAGAAAATGTTCCACCATTTTGAGATTGACTTTTTGAATGTCCAATATCAAACATTTTTGACATTCCAAAATCTGTTATTAAAGGATGATAATTATCACCAATCAAAATGTTTCCTGCTTTTATGTCTCTATGCATGATATTGCGATCATGTAAATATTTCATGCCTCTTGCAATTCCAACCAAAATTATCTGTCGTGTTGTGTTCGTGTAATCTTTTGGACAGATTCCTTGGCCGATTTGAAGAAGAATATCGAGAAAGGATCCCTTATTTGCAAGATCCATTATTATTGTAATATTGTTTTCTTCTAAAAAATCTTGTAATGAAAAGCCAATAAGCTTGATTATTGTCGGATGATTGGCATGCATCATGATTCCTATTTCACGATCAATCATTTTCTTACATTGTTCTTCATCATCTCCGCAATCAATGACTTTCGCCGCAAAAAGCTTGCCTGTCTCTTTTTCTTCAATTGAATAAATTGTCCCGAATCCTCCTTTGTTGATTCTTTTGCCTTTCTTGAATCTTTTCAAGTCAATTTGATAGTTAATATAAGAACCATTCATTTGAATAAATAAATAATTTTTTTAAAAGCTAATAGAAAAAAACATTTTTATCAAAAAGTTTATAGACAAATAATTTTTTTTTATCAAAAAGTTTATAGACAATTTTTTTTAATCAATTGACATCAAAATTTTTAATTGAAAGTTTGAATCAAATCAATTGGCATCAAAAATTCACAATCCCTATTTTTTTTTCGTCCCTCTCAAAGGATCGATATCAAAAATTAATAAAAAAAATCGATTATCAATATTGGAATTCCAATAATAAAAGCTGATTCTTTTACATAATATGTTAGAATATATTTATTTTATGCCATTAAAATACTATTCTTAATTTTTTTTTAGCTATTAATTTCGATTAATCAAGATTCGATATCAAAAGAATTTTTTTTCGTATCACATTTCATATTTGATAATCAAATTCATCAATTAAAAGTTCCAATCGATAGCATTTTATTATCGATTATCTGAGTTAAAAAAAGTGTCAAGCCTGATAATTGATATCAGAATAGCAAGACTAAAATAATTATAATAATTATTCATATTCCAGCTTAATTCACAGAGTTGTATTTTTGATTATACTGAGCTCATAAATAATGTGTGTCCTGTATATCAAATGCATATCTATTTTTAATATATTTATATATTTGTGAAAACTCACTGAATTTTTTAATTCAATTTGGAATTTA